GAAAACTTCAGCTGCAGATTTCTGCTGCCCACAAGCATAACACTGGAATAAAAGTACTTGTCGATTTTCATGATAAATTTGTTTCTACGAAGGCCTTTTCCATTGGCTTAGAGCCTGAGTGTGGTTTATTCTAAGATAAGATGGTTGGGGTCAACACTGAAAATTGAAGTTCTTTTTAATATATGGTATGGCTGAGCATCATTATTTTCAATTTTGGGCAAGCATCTTAAATGTGCATTTATATGAAGACCTAAATGGACAGTAATCAAAGTGTGCAATATATTTTAAGGTTAAATGGAATCCAACATTTGCAATCCTGGCATTTCAAATAGCCAGAGTAAGACCATGTCCACATGAAGACCTAGTGCACAGCAAACTGAGATGTAAATCTGGAGTGCATGTTTCCCTGCCATGCAGTCGGTGTGGACTCTGCTGCCACAAACTGAAAGTACTGTAGTGTGCTTTAAGCTATGCTGTTTCAAGCAGCAATAGGTCAAAGTGCACTACAGAACTGGAAGTGTATGACTGGCTACAGTGCTGTACATTCACACCCTGACTTCCTGTGCATTAAATCTCAGTGTGGACAATCCCTAAGTATGCAGATTTAATACTTCCTTTGTTTTCAGGCACAAGTCTATCATTTTACATCTTATTTCTAATTTTAAGAAGTGCATTCCCCAATACACAGACAAAATCTGTACTACATACTTTATTCAGTAGCTTTTATTGCTTTCACTGCAATTTAAGGCACTCCCAGTGGAAAACAACAGGTTTACAGAAAAGAACTACTGCCTTCTATGAAAGTTTCCATTAAAACTAGGGAAAGAAAGCCAACCCCATCAATTTGAGTTGGAGTTTAAATAGTTCTTACATGATTAAATGTGTAGGGTGATGTGCTCCTGCACACCAAGAGTCAAACTATGTAAAATGTGGCAATGAGCAATAGTAACACAGGTACCATGCACATTCTCCTTTTTGCTTAAAACCATGTTATTAGCTGTAGGCTTTCAGCCATTTCTAGCAGCTGTGCTTTTGGTTTGATGGTGAAGGGATATCTGTGCCATTTAACAAGGCTGGGATTATTAGTTATGCCTACCAACTGAACACTATGGTTTGTACAGGGGTAGATCATATGAAGTAGTATCATTAGTCACATTAAGTGGTATCTTGCTCTTTGAGTACTCCCATAGGAATATATGATAATACTTAACATGGGTAAGGGGACTGCAATCTGGACCAGAGAGAGCAAGGGCTAGATCTTCAGCTGGTGTCAAATGGTGTAGCATCATTGAAGTCAATGGAATTATGCCAGGGTGCATCAATTGTGGATCTGTGTCCAAATGTCTATCAGAACGTGTCAATATTACACACAAAACATTACACTAAAAAGAACATTAAAGTTGAAAAGCCAAGCACCCAAAAGTTAAGAAATGCCTGAATTAAGGTAGCTTGTGCTAATTTAATTTGGGCACCTTATGTGTGTACATTTTGAGTCAGTCTTTATGATCACATACTGTTTTTTCCATAGGCCTCATTCAGTGTGTGAAATGCAGTGTTCTCTTAATGACCAGCTGTTCAGTATCCTGGTTTCTCCTCACTGTCTGGTGTGTGGCCCCATGCTCTGTTTACTGCACACTATTCAAACCCTGCTCCGAAGGCAGAATTATTAATTTCCTCATGAGCTTTTCTCTGGGGCTCATCACTGTAGTATCTGAATGCTTCACAAAATATAAATGAATGTACTTTCATAATACCCCTGGGAAAGGAGGGGTTATCAACCCAGCTTTACAGATGGGGAGCTAAGGCACAGAAAAAGAGAGGTCAAAACTATCCACTACTTTTGGGTGCCCAGTTTGAGGTCTGATTTTTTCAGAGTAGTATCAGATTGCACTTAACATTCTAAGCACAGCTCCTACTGACTTCAGTTGCACTTAAGGGCTCAGCACTTCTATAAATCAGATCTCAGGGTCTCAAATCAGGCCCCAAGAAAATGAGGAAAGCCCAACTAGTGACCACTTTGAAAAGGCTGGATTAAGTGTCTCTAATGGCATCACACAGGAACTCTCTGGCAGAAGCAGGGATTGAATCTGGTTCTCCAGGGAGGCATTCAACTGCCTTAACTAGCACATCTTCCCTTCTCTTTCTGTAATCTCCTACCTCATTCACTACACACCTTTCAGCTTTAGCAACAAATGAAGCAGGGATCCTAGACACAACAGGTTTCTTCACTATACAATCCTGCTTCATCCCCAGAGTAGGTCTATTCTGTGCATTGAATGCGGCAGGAGTTGTGTGGAAAAAATATGTGATCCTGTAATTAAAGGTGGTCTCATAGTGCATATACACAGGGGGCTGAATTAATTTGCACAGGCAATCTTTTGGCATTTCTTAACTTTTGAATGCTTGAATTGCAACCATAAAAATGTTATTTTAATGGTTTTTGTGGATAACTTCCTAAGGGTTTTAAAAAACAAGCTGAGAAAACAAATTCCATCATACTTACACCCACATGGGTCATCAGCAGGGTTAACCTGGAACCTTTAGATCCACCACACAGACCCCTACCACTTAAGCTAATGAACAGCACTAACTGATCAAAACAGTAGTGTGACTTCCTATTTTAATCAGGACTAGAGGGGAATGACACACACACACTTTGCAAGACTGTCTCACAGATATTTGCTCTCTCCCCGCACCCCCCCCCAGCCTCCATATGCCTCCCACCCCTATGGCTTCCAGCCTCCATTGCCTTCCCTAGTCTCCTTCTCCAAGCTCCTTGTTCCAAACTTTTTGCCCCATCAATCCCAGTTCTCTCCCCACACCCCAACTCCTAATCCAATCTGTCTTTGCTCTCCCTCATTTCTTTTCCCTGCTGACTGGGTTCTCATTCCCTGTCTCCTACCCAGCCAGTCACTATCTCCCACCACCCCAACTCCCTGTCCTAGTCACCCCACAGGCTTCTTGTCCCAGTCTATTTGCCCTAATGCCCCCCATAGGTCTGGCTCTTCTCCCCTCTGCCTCAGAATCAGGCAGCCTCCTCCAAACTGGTGGTTAGTGAAAGCAAAGGAATGAGAGATTCCCTGCTCTTAGTTCAGGTGCCTGGACCCAGCACAGCCCAGAGTTGCAACTGTAGGGAAAGGCCTGGTCAGCCCTAGGGTGGAACTTGCCCAGCACAGATGGGATATGTTCAGGGCAGTTAGCTTCTAAAATCCCAGAAGCCTCTACTGAGCACATGCAAATTATAGTTTTTCAAAGGATTATAACTTGGCCAAATGTAGGCAGATTTGTACAGGGACAGTATAAGGAACATCCTGGCTACCCCTCCTGCCAAAGTTCAAGTCCCTTTCCAAAGCATGGAGGTGCTATAGTTATTCAAAGAAAAGTTCAGAATTTGTAACCGGGGTATGATTAGGTGCATTTTCACAGCCTCATTCTCTGGCATGGAAAATTTCAATCCAAATGGTTACAGTTTGGTTAAGTTATAAGCAACTGAAAATTGGGTTTTATAGTGGGAAGTGAAGGGCAAATTTAACAACAGCTTTGCTACCAGCCCCAGCTATAATACTACCAATAGCTTAAAAACATGCTTCCCTGCTACCTTCCCATTTAAGGGCCTAATTCTGCTCCAACACTGAAATGAATGAGGAATAATTCCATGGCAATCAATGGTGTTTTCTATATTAGTGTAAAATCAGTGCAAGAACAGAATCAGGCCTAATGATTATCCATGACAGGGCCTAAGAATCAGAAGTGAAATATATTAGGATATATACTACAGTCATCTCTATAAAACATGCTACTAATTTAATATGCAACCCCCCCCAATGAAATACACTTAAAGAAGCATGAATCAGTGACCATCATTTCATGAATTTAATTTCTGAAATCAATGCAGTAAACCTCAGGTAACCATTGATGCTTGGATGGGTAGGTTAGATGAAATGTCCTGCCTTGCACTGCTTTGAGTGACTCAATCAGTTCCCTCTTATATTCCAGTTCTTCAAGAAAGCACTGTGAATGTGTTAGAGACAGTAGTGGCTGTTCCTGAGAGGCAGAGGCTCAGATTCTCCAAATTGGCCAAGATGTGTTGGGCAGAGGTCAATGGAAGAAGAGCAAAGGTAGCATTAAACTAACTGTGCAGGTCTTTGATCTTGGGAAGTTCCTCCTCTACTTCTGGGAAAATATATAGAGCAGCCCTGAGGCTGCTCTACCTTATGCTTAGCTACCAACAGCCTCAAGGAGTTGTTCCTCCAGTCAAATATCAGCTGAGCACAGAGGCAGCCTTTTTTCTGGCCATGTCCCCTTCTGCTAGGGACCAAAGGGAGAAGATGTGGGAGCCACTATTCCTTCCCTACACCACTCATGGATTTCCTTATGGGGGAACATCCCCATATGGCTCTCTGGCTGCTTTGCACTGCTAAAACAATGCAAAGAAGCCTTAGCTAGTTTGAAGATTTGAGCAAATGCTTTCCATTCCTGAATAACAGTTATTCCTCCTGATAAAGGAACTGCACTCAGTCCTAACTAGGACTCCTTTCACTGCAATGATGTTGCCATGAGCTGTGCTTCAACACTGGGACAAAAATGAGAGCATGATCTACACTGGATTGTTTTACGGTAACTAGGCAAAGTGATTGATTGATGCTGTTTTTTTCAACCGTGTTACCTTGTGCTCCAGAATCAAACCCACCATTTAAAAAAGAAATCTTGAACCCTTATAGTTCCAGAGATAGTTCACATATTGAAAACTGAGTGTCAACCAATGCAATATTTGCCCGAGTCTGCTACCAGCCTCAGACAATGGCCCAGAGCGCAGTAAACCGATTCCTTTAATCTTAATGAAGTGTCAATGCTAAATTCTCATTATGATTTAATTCTAGCATTCCTAACTATTAGACTGCTCATCAAAGCACACAAAAAAGAAGAGGGAGGATCACATTAATAAGAACTGATTATTAGATGGAGTGGCATCTCTTTTTATTGGGCAACTCTTGGTTTGTAGGTGGAGCTTGGAAGACTACCACTACTATGACTCCCCCCTCCCCAATTTCTGTCACTAAGTGAGACCGGGGCGAGGGGAAGATGTATAGCAACTTTCCAAGACTGACCTAGCCAGAGCTTGGTGAGTGATTAAGCTGCCTAAACCGAGGTGCCAATGTTTAAGTGAGTAGCTGAACAGCATTTATAATGAGTGTCTTAAACTGTAAGACCTATTTGGGGCCATTTTGAAGACTCTAAATAGCATGTTAAAATTGTTCCTGTGGAAAATGATGTAATTAGTGGCTATTACATTGCTCCCTATCTTCTGGCCTTGTAAAATGCTGCTGTCTCGTATGTGGGGATAATGTTACAGAAATAGCCCCAATACCTTCCACTATTGTCTAGTGTCTGGATTTGTTGACAAAAAAATCTGCAGTTGGAATTTTACAACTAAAATACTCCTGAGTTTTTTGGGGGGGAGTTTTGAGTTAAAGGGCATTCTCCCTTTAACCACACCCAAATATAGGCTGTTTTATTTTATTGTTGTTTTTAAGGAGCTATAATGTATAAACTCATGCAAACTTTAATATCTTAAATCCAAAACAATTTTATGTAAACTAAAAAACACATCAATTTTAATCACAAAAATGAGCCTTCACTCAAACGGACACATTACAGACAGTATCTCACTTTACTGAAATCTATGTTAGCAATTAGCAACTAACATCCTTTAGAGACAAATGATCAATAAACCCCCCCATCAGAAGGGAGTCAAAGTTTCATTGTGCCACTACGACATTTAACCACATAATAAATTCAGAACATTTTCATCTACCATAGTGGTATGTTTCCTACAATAATTAGAGATAGTCAAAAACGGAGGTACAGTACATCACAATGGGCACCATTATCAGAAAAACTACCTATTCAAAAGGGACTACAAGAATTACATAATTCTGAAGAAAAAGCAAAAAAAAAAGTCTTGATCCTCGGAAATATAAATTGTGAGAGTACTTGACACACTTGTCATGTAAAAATCAGACATATGCAAACATATTACAAAGGTATTTTGATCACTTATGGACGCAAGAGAATTTTTAAAAATGATCCAGGGATTCTGTTTTTCATGTATTGGGCATCAACTGGTGAATTTTATACACTTATAAAACCAAGAGACTAGCTCTGGTGATAGTCAGATATAAGCATGATGGAGCCAACCTATTTTGTAGACTTTAGGCCAGGGGTGGGCAAACTTTTTGACCTGAGGGCTACATCGGGGTTCCTAAACTGTACCGAGGGCTGGGTACCGAGGGCCGGGTAGGGAAGGCTGTGCCTCCCCAAACAGCTTGTCCACCCCCTCCCACTTCCTGCCCCCTGACTGCCCCCCTCAGAACCCTCTGATCCATCCAACCCCGCCTGCTCCTTGTCTCCTAACCACCCCCCCAGGACCGCAGCCCCTATCCAACCCCCCCCTGCTCCCTGTCCCCTGACTCCTATCCCCATGACAGGCCCCCCAGGACCCCACCCCCTATCCAACCGCCCCTTGCTCCCTGTCCTGACTGCCTCCAGGGACCCCCTTTCCCCTTATCCAACCTCCCCCACCCACTCCCTGCCCCCTTACCATGACACTCAGAGCACCAGGACTGGCAGCCGCGCCGCCCAGCCGGAGCCAGCCACGCCGCGCCATCTAGAGAACCGGGGCAGGCCGGCAGCTCTTGCAGCCGCGCTGCCCGGCAGGAGCTCGCAGCCCCACTGCCCATAGCACTGGTGGCACAGCAAGCTGAGGCTGTGGGGGAGGGGGCTAGCCTCCCCGGCCAGGAGCTCAAGGGCTGAGCAGGACAGTCCCGTGGGCCGGATGTGGCCCGGGGGCTGTAGTTTGCCCACCTCTGCTTTAGGCACGACCATAAAATAGATGTTTAAATAAATTGTTTGTTTATTTATTATTATTCTTCAAGTGCATGTGATGTTATGTTAAGGCTCTTGAACCTTGACCTGCAAAATGCTATTTCGAGATCCTACACCAGGCAGAGATCACAAATTTTGGCAAACAACGCCATTTCTGCTATATGGAGAAATATTCTCACAGGTTCATGTGGAGGCCAGAAAACTTGCTTAATTTGTGGACTAATCACAGGCTTCCAGACCTAAGAACCACAGGCCTGGAACCACAGGCCTCCAGACATAAGAAAGTAGTGCTTTCAACAACTGTTCCAGCATACTGTCATTGTCCATGGCCATGAAGTATAGGCATAAACTGTCATGTGTAAAACGACATTATACAGAACACTGGCACATTTGAAAATCTTGACAAGATTTAGGCCATTATCTGTGTCTGTCACCCCTCCCAAATGTTCCAAAAATTGATACACAAGCTCTTTTAGAATGCTCTTTCCTGCCTTATTTTTCAGGTCATCTTTCTCCAAGTTCTCCTGCAAAAGTTGATTACCTTCTAAAAGATGATTGATGGCTTCATTCTGTGGGCACAGTTTCACAGACTTGTGTTGCAGGAATTTGCCAATTCTGGAAAAGGGAAAAAAGAGAAGCAAAGGAGGAACTTGTGCTGAGAAATATCAAACAAATTTGTGCAAATTGAACAGATCCAGGCTCACTCAGGTCTCTGATGTACTACAGTATATCTTCATTCCAAACAAGGCTGTGGTAGACAGCTAGAACAGTGATGAAATTTCTCATCTTGAAAACCCAGGAAAGTTATAAACTGCCAAATAATTACTAATAATAAAGGTAGGTGGCCCCTGTACAGTTAATTACACTGACAAATGGCTCCTTTATTCCATCTCCCTCAGCAGCATCCTCATCTCCCTGTTTGCAATTTTTTCATTTTTTTAAATTATAGAAGAGTCATCAGACTAGAATTTTTTTAAGTTGGTTATGGAAATAATTGAATTATAATTATTTACTGCATGGTTAATAATAACTACCAATTTAATAATTTGCACTGAAGGGGAGGAGAGGCATTCTTGAGGAGCTCTAAGATCAATACTTATTCCTAAAACCAAGAAGCAGTAAGATGGAGTGAGCCCAAATAGAGATTTTCACATTTCACCAGCTAAATCACTCAGACAGGGAGTAATTGCCCTTGAACTTTGGACAAGAGCCATCAGACTCTGGTACCTAGCCCATGATGAAAGCAATTCCCTGAGCCCCAGAGAATGGATGGGTATGTTCTGAGTTCTTCATAGCAACTGGTTTGCAAAGGCAACTCATTCTGGCTGCTGTACTGGAGACTAGAGAGACAAAGTGGGTGAGATAATATCTTTTATTGGACCAACTTCTGTTGATGAGAGAGACAAACTTTCGAGCCACCCAGAAGCTCTTCCTCAGGTCTGGGAAAACAACCTCACGCACCTTGTCTCACTAATATCCTGGGACTGACATGGCTACAACTACACTGCATACAGTATTGTCAGCCCTCTGGACATGAGGTCAAGTACTTTAATGCAACTGCACCATGTACACAGTAGGGAGTGGAAGCGGGACTGAATGTAGAGGTACAATGTGTTGGTTCAGCCATTTAAGCTGCGGCTGGGTTTTTATTACAATCCTGTTGCATAATGGAATACACCACAATCAGGAGGCAGGCAGCTTTCAGAGACAGCAGTTGGTGCTCCTGTAAATTATAGATTCACCCTTGATGTAAAAGGAAGAGGAGGAAATACGGTGTAGGTAAAATACATATCCCCATTCAGAACATTCATGATCCCCAGGACTGGGACCTTGGAGAATGAGTTGGACTGTTAACAATATGAAATAAGTTACAGCACATAGATAACTGGCTTACACTGAAGTCTCTGCCAAAACTCCTATTGACTTAAATGTGAGTAACATAGGAGCCAACAAGGGGGACAATAACTACTTTTGGATAATACTGCTCTGTGGTTCTCCCTCATTTTCCCCTTCTTCACTTCCAGATTGGAACATCCAAACCCTTCCCCAAATTAACATTTATTTAATAAAATTCTGTAGTGCCAATAAATCCAATTGTCTCCATCATTCCCTGCAATGGGCATTCTCAGTGGAAAATTATTTACCTGGCAGTCATAGGAAATATCCCCTTAGTACGATATTCTTCTTGAAAGGTGCAAATTGGATAGTAAGCTAGTATTTTTTTTTTAAATGGGAAAAGGTTTAGGTGCTTCGTATGCTTCCTCACAAAACTGTAGCCAGGCCTCTCAATCTTGATCTGCACCACTCCTAGCCTTTGTGCTTCCTTAATGAAAGCTGCCAGCTCTACTGTACCATTTATTGGCTTCAGAACAAACAGAGACCACAAAGCCTCCCCCAAACTCACGCTCCGTTGCAAAAACTCAAGATGTAAAATCTGGCGTCCATTGGTGAAAGGCTAATAAAATAATTCAATGCACCCCCTCATCTTCCAAAATTCTAAACAGGTGAGGAAGCCAATATCATGGTCACACTGAGCAACCTATTCAGCAAACAGCCCATAAATAGGGAGAGAGGGGGTTGGCAGTAACCACTAATAAAACTGATTAGCATGGATTGTAAATTTAACTTCTAACTGTACAGTTATTGGATGCCTTATGTACTGTCTTTCAATGTGTAAAGCTTGTTTTGCATTTAATGGGGACTGAATGTTTGATAAGGTAAGAAAAATAGCACAAAATATTGTATTTTAGGAAAAAGAGAATAGTGCACACAATGAGCTGCCTCTCTGTTTGGAGCCCACTATTTTGAACCTTGTGTGAATGTAACAAACATGGAAGCTCCTGATATTGCAACACTTTGTACAAATAGCAGTGTATACTTCAGTTCTTGACCGTATGCAAGATGGGCTCTCCACGACATGGCACAGAGCAGAGCAAAGGAATGGAAAACAGAGAGAATGGAGAAAGGAGGCTTCAATACATGTTCCCTCTTCCCTGTGGAAGCCCTCTGATTTCTGGGTTGGATCAAGGCAGAAACCAACAAAACTCCTCCAGCTGCCTCCTTTTACCTTCCCAAGTACTTTTCTATGGGAAGGGAGGATTTATACCCATGTACCATAATTTGTAAAAGCCAAATTTCCACACAAATATTTGTTTGCCACAAGTGTTTGTGTGATATCTGCCAGCTTGGCCAGCAATTGGGAGCTGGACCAGACACCTCCAGAGCTAAAAGCACAAGCTGCTTCAGTTTGAGCTGAAGAACCATGACTGTAACAATTCATATCCCCTTCAGATCAGGCATAGAGGGGGATCCGTAACACACACACCAGTGGGTTCCACTTGCACACTCACTCTGTCAGGGAATAGAAATGATATCATGTGGTTTAGCTGATCAATTACTACTAAGCAACACAGCTCAAATTCCAGACAATCCAGAGCCAAATAATTTTAAAAGATTTTCATTGAATAAAATCCAGTAATGGATGAATTCTAAGAGCTCATGCTTTGTTCATGTGGATATTTTGCAAACAGAAAGAGAAGCCAAGTCACGAAATAAAGTAGTTGCAATTTTTTGTTCAGCTCTGTCCTCTACTCTACACACCTTACAAGTGTCCATAATGTGCTCAGCAAGGGCTAAAAACAGGGATTACAGTAATAAGCTGTAAAACTATAAGCATTAGATGAGTAACTAAGGAGCCATTATGACTTTGAGCTATTCAGCATTTCTGAGCCCAAGGCACATTCTTCCGTCCCGTGTGTCAATAAAGTCCAAAAACTTATTCTAAACATTTTTATACATGGAGGGTTGGGATTTCTAGTTGTATTCACATATTTGTGCAAGTTAAACCTAGTGCATATACTGACTGACTCTCTTTTGAGAGATTTCCCCCCCCCCCCCCCCCACAGGATGAAAAAAGACTATGACAAAATTGTATATTGCATAGAGAAAATTTTTTACCAGTTAATTGGCATCTTAATCTAAATGCAAAACCATGCATTTGTAACATTTTAATAACAGAGAACACTTGAAATGGCAGAAAATGTCACCAGTAAAATAGGGTTTTGCTGCATTTCAAGTGTAGAAGCAGTTTCGCCATTGGCAGTGTCATTTATCATCATGCACATAGTAACAGAAAATCAGGCAGCTACAAAAGAGCTGAGCACAGTACATTTAAACCCACAACAGCAGCGTCCGATGATATATCACCTGATACTCCACTTGTACTTGCTTCCCATAAAACAACGGGTCAGATTCAAGGTTTTGGTGTTAAGCTTCAAGGTCCCCCCCCGAAATTAACCCGAGATACTTCAGACAGACCAATCTTCTGTCACAACTAGATTTGGGCAAAAAAATTTGGACAATGCTTTTTTCCATATTCAGGTCGACCATAATAAAAATAAAATCATTTTGGCTGAAAAAAGGAAAAGAAAAAACAGATATTTCTGAAAAAGTTGACATTTTTAAACAAAATGTTTGAATTGGTCAATCTGAAATTACTTTTCATTTAGAATGCTACTTCCATTTTATTTTTAAAAGGGTAAAAAAAAAATCTCAAACAAAACAATGTTTAATTTTCAGTCAAACAAAACATTTCATTTTACCTGAAACAAAAGGGTTTCGATTTGTATTTTGCCACTAAATTTGAAAAATTTTCATTTCTGGTCAACCTACAATTAACTTCCTCCCCATCCTTTTTTTAATAGCAATTTTTCAGTTCAGTCACCAAACCAAATTATTTGTACAGGTCTAGTCATAATGCACACCTTCATCAAAGACTAGGTTACTCACAGACTATGCAACTGTGAACCTCAAGGGTGGAGCCTCATGAGAACGAGAAAATGGGCTGTTTTGGCACCAGGGCCTAGGCTCAATAACTCATCTCAAGAGGGTATCAGAATGACCACAAATCTTCCAGCTTTCAGAATGAAGTGTTACATTCATTTCTTTGTCTTTCTTTCCCCAAGCTGCAATTAAAAATAGCAGAGAAAGAGGAAAGAAGAAGGCAACAAGGGAGAGAGAAGAAGCACTTTGGAGGACAGGATGAGCATTCAGAATGATCTTGACAAGCTGGAGAATTGGTCTGTATTCAACAAGACAAGTGCAAAGTCCTTCACTTAGGAAAGAAAAATCAAATGCGCAACTACAAAATGGGGAATAACTTGCTCGGCCGTAGTATTGCTGAAAAGGACCTGGGGGTTAGAATTGGCCACAAATTGAATTTGAATCAATAATGTGATGAAGTTGAGAAAAAGGCGAATATCATTCTGGATATATTAACAGGAGTGTCCTTTGTAAGACACGGGCGGTAACTGTCCCTCTCTACTAGGCACAGGCGAGGCCACAGCTGGCGTGCTGTGTCCAATTCTGGGTGCCCCATTATAAGAAAGATGTGAACAAATTGGAGAGATTCCACAGGAAAACAACAAAAACAATAAAAGGTTTAGAAAACCTGACCTATGAGGAAAGGTAAAAAAAGAATGAGCCTGTTTAGTCCTGAGAAAACAAAACTGGCAACACTCTTCAAATACGTTAAAGGCAGTATAAAGAGGACAGTGATCAATTATCCTCCAGGTCCACTGAAGGTAGGATAAGTAATGGGCTTAATCTGCAGGAAGGAAGATTTAAGTTAGACATTGGGAAACAAGGTTTCTAACTGAAGGATAGTTAAGCTCCTGAATAGACTTCCAGGGAAGGTTGTGGAATCCTTATCACTGGAGGATTTTAAGAACAGGTGAGACAAACACCTGTCAGGGATGGTCTAGCTATACACGGCCTTGCCACAGAACAGGAGACTGGATGACCCATCAAGTTCCCCTCCAGCCCAACATTTCTATTATTCTAAGGGTATGTCTACTCTACGAAATTACGTCGAATTTATAGAAGTCGATTTTTTAGAACAATTTTACACAGTAGATTGTGTGTATCCCCATTAAGCATATTAGTCGGTGGGGTGCATCCACAGTACCAAGGCTAGCATTGACTTTCGGAGCATTGCACTGTGGGTAGCTATCCCACTGTTCCCACAGTCTCTGCCGCTCATTAGGTATTCTGGGTTAAGCTCCCAATGCCTGATGGGGCAAAAACATTGTCGCGGGTGGTTTTGGGTATGTGTCGTCAGTTGCCCCTCCCTCCGTGAAAGCAATGGCAGACAATAGTTTTGCGCCTTTTTTCCATGCGGGCACCATACTGCTTTCAGCAGACTGTGCAATAGGTCTGCAAACCGTCGTCATCAAACAACCACTTCTGCTGCCACTCTGCTCTCCTGATGCTATGAATCCACCTCACAGGTCCTCTATATGACCGTCGTCATCCACCGTTTCCGCTGCCACTCTGGTCTCCAGCTGGTTTCGCAGGGCCGCTTCCACTGCAACTCTGCTCAGCTGCTCTTGTCTCGCCATACCACGGCAAGCATGCAGCCCACTCAGCTGTTGTGTCCTGGCAGCAGACGGTGCAGTAGGTCTGCAAAACTAGTCATCCAACCACCACTTCCCCTGCAACTCTGCTCTCCTGCAGACACCATACCACAGCAAGCTTGGAGCCCGCTCAGATCACCGTGGCAGTTTTGAGCATTGTAAACACCTCGCACATCATCATGCAGGATATGCAGAACTAGAACCTGCAAAAGCAGGAGAGGAGGTGATGGCAGCGCGGTGACAAGAGTGACGAGGACATGGACACAGACGTCTCTCAAACCATGGGCACCGGCAATTTGGCCACCCTGGTGGCAATGGGGCAGACTCATGCCATGGAATGCTGATTCTGGGCCCAGGAAACAAGCACAGACTGGTGGGACCGCATAGTGTTGCGGGTCTGGAATGATTCCCAGTGGCTGCGAAACTTTCACATGTGTAAGGGCACTTTCATGGAACTTTGTGACTTGCTTTCCCCTTCCCTGAAGCGCAAGAATACCAGGATGAGAGCAGCCCTCACAGTTCACAAGCGAGTGGCGATAGCCCTCTGGAAGCTTGCAATGCCAGACAGCTACTGGTCAGTCAGGAATCAATTTGGAGTGGGCAAATCGACTGTGAAGGCTGCTGTGATCCAAGTAGCTAATGCAATCACTGAGCTGCTGCTATCAAGGATAGTGACTCTGGGAAATGTGCAGGTCATAGTGGATGGCTCTGCTGCAATGGGATTCCCCAATTGTGGTGGGACGATAGATGGAACGCATATCCCTATCTTGGGACCGGATCACGAAAGCAGCCAGTACGTAAACCGCAAGGGGTACTTTTCAATGGTGCTGCAAGCACTTGTGGATCACAAGGGACGTTTCACCAACATCAACATGGGATGGCTGGGAAAGGTACATGCCGCTTGCATCTTCAGGAACTCTGGTCTGTGTGAACAGCTGCAGCAAGGGACTTACTTTCCAGATCAGAAAATAACTGTTGGGGATGTTGAAATGCCAATAGTTATCCTTGGGGACCCAGCCTACCCCTTAATGCCATGGCTCATGAAGCTATACACAGGCACCCTGGACAGTAGTCAGGAGCTGTTCAACTATAGGCTGAGCAAGTGCAGAATGGTGATAGAGTGTGCATTTGGACGTTTAAAAGCATGCTGGCGCAGTTTACTGACTTGGTTAGGCCTCAGTGAAACCAATATTAATAGCTCACGTTAAGTGATCACTCTTGTTACAGTGCGTATGGTAACACCCATTGTTTCATGTTCTCTATGTATATAAATCTCCCCACTGTATTTTCCACTGAATGCATCCAATGAAGTGAGCTGTAGCTCACGAAAGCTTATGCTCAAATAAATTTGTTAGTCTAAGGTGCCACAAGTACTCCTTTTCTTTTTGCGAATACAGACTAACATGGCTGCTAATCTGAAACGTATTATTATTACTGTTTGCTGTGAGCTCCACAATATCTGTGAGAGTAAGAGGGAGACATTTATGGTGGGGTGGGAAGTTGAGGCAAATCGCCTGGCTGCTGATTACATGCAGCCAGACACCAGGGCGGTGAGAAGAGCACAGCAGGGCACGCTGCGCATCAGAGAGGCTTTGAAAACCAGTTTCACGGCTGACCAGGCTACAGTGTGACAGTTCTGTTTTTCTCTCCTTGATGTAAACCCGCCCCCTTGGTTCATTCTACTTCCCTGTAAGCCAACCGCCCTCCCCTCCCTGCTTCAATCACCACTTGCAGAGGCAATAAAGTCACTGTTGTTTCAAATTCATGCATTCTTTATTAATTTGTCACACAAATAGAGGGATAACTGCCACGGTAGCCCAGGAGGTGTGGAGGAGGAGGGAATCACTGGGTGGGGTGGAGGAGGAGGGGAGGACAAGGCCACACTGCTCTTCAAAACTTATTGAATGCCAGCCTTCTGTTGCTTGGGCAGTCCTCTGGGGTGGAGTGGTTGGGAGCCCGGAGGGCCCCCACCCCCCTGTGTTCTTGGGCATCTGGGTGAGGAGGCTATGGAACTTGGAGGACGACGGTTGGTTACACAGGGGCTTCAGTGGTGGTCTGTGCCTTTCCTGCACCTCAACCATATGCTGGAGCATATCAATTTGATCCTCCAGTAGAAGCAGCATTGCATCCTGCCTCCTCTCATCACGCTGCCACCACCTCTCCTGTTGCTGCCGCCACCTCTCCTCTCATACGTCCCTCCTGTCCTCGCGTTCATTTTGTGCTTTCCTGGACTCTGCCATTGTCTGCCTCCCTGCATTCTGCTGGGCTCTTTCAGTTTGTGTGGACTGCATGAGCTCAGAGAACATTTCATTGTGAGTGTGTTTTTTTCACCTTCTTATCTGTGCTAGCCTCTGGGATGGAGATGCTAGTCACCGCATTGAAACATTTGCAGCTGTGGGAGGAAAAAAAGGGAGATTAAAATTGAAAAAGACACATTGGCCATTTAAAAGGAGGGGCTAATGTTTTCGGGTTAACATGCAGCACAAACCCAAATAAACCCCCCCCCACACCCAATTCTCTGGGGTGATCGCCCCGTGTGGCTAATAGCGGGGATGATTTCTTATCAGCCACACGCAAACAGCCCAGCAGGAATGGCCACCTCTGAATGTCCCCTTAATAAAATTCCCCTATTTCAACCAGGTGACCATGAATGATATCACTCTCCTGAGGATAACAGAGAGATAAAGAATGGATGTTGCTTGAATGCCAGTAAACACAGTGGCACACGCTGCCATGCTTTCTTATGCAATGATTCCAGACTATGTGCTGCTGGCCTGGCGTGGTAAAGTGTCCTACCATGGAAGATGCAATAAGGCTGCCCTCCCCAGAAACCTATTGCAAAGGCTTTGCGAGTACCTCCAGGACAGCTTCATTGAGATGTCTACGGAGGATTTCCGCTCCATCCCCAGACATGTTAACAGACTTTTCAGTAGCTGTACTGGCCGCGAATGCATTCCAAGTCTTCAGGGCAAATTAATCATTAAACACGCTTGCTTTTAAACCGTGTATTATATTTACAAAGGTACATTTGTTAGCATATAGATATTCAGGCCTGTCTGTAAAGGCCTATACTCTAAGAATTTAGATGTATTCTTATCACTTAGCTAGTTATAAAGGTATAAAAAAGAATCAAAATCACTGTCTGCTGGTGTAAGGGCCTTCTCTTACTGTGACAGTCTGAGGCCCTGTTCTTAGGCTAAGATCTTTGGCTAAGCAGCAGAGGCAGCCATAAGCTGGGAAGCAAACGGTCACATCCTCACATTCCAAACTAGTCACATTGAAAGAAGGTGCTATTGGGCTGTTAGGAATACACTCCTGTCCTGATCATGCCTATCACCTCCAGAGAAAGGGAAGTGCCTAGAAAATGTAAAAGGAAACTTAGTTTGATAGCATCCTGTCTGGCAAAACTTCACTTATCAATAACTGGGATGTGAAATCCTCATTTCTGTGTTGTTCTATCATTGTAGTCCCCATTTCCCTATTGTTTGTCTGTATAATCTCTGTCTGGTTCTGTGATTGTTCCTGTCTGCTGTATAATTAATTTTGCTGGGTGTAAACTAGTTAAGGTGGTAGGATATAATTGGTTAAATAATCATGTTACAATATGTTAGGATTGGTTAGTTAAATTTCAGTAAAACTATTGGTTAAGGTATAGCTAAGCGGAACTCAAGTTTTACGATATAGTCTGCAGTCAATCGGGGGGGGGGTAGGAATGGGAACAGGGAATGGGGGTGGGGAAATTGGAATCATGTTTTGCTAAGGGGGGGAATGGGAACAGGGACACAGGTAAGGCTCTGTGCTGTCAGAGCCAGGAAGGGGGACACTAAGGAAGGAAACTGGAATCATGCTTGCTGGAAGTTCACCCCAGTAAACATCAAATTGCAGGAGTCCACGTACAGGTGTGGGGTAGTTGTAGGGGCACCCCCTAAAATTGCATGCAGCTCATCATAGAGGCTGCATGTCTAGGGCTCTAACCCTGAGCGGGCATTTGCCTCTTGGGTTTTTTGGTAGGCTTGCCTGAGCTCCTTAAGTTTCACACAGCACTGCTGCAGGTCCCTGTTATAGCCTCTGTCCTTCATGCCCTTGGAGATTTTTTCAAATATTTTGGCATTTCGTCTTTTGGAACGGAGTTCTGATAGCACAGATTTGTCTCCCCATACAGCGACCAGATCCAATACCTCGCGTTCGGTCCATGCTGCAGCTCTTTTGCAATTCTGGGACTCCATGGTCACCTCTGCTGATGAGATCTGCACGGTCACCTGTGCTGATCAGCTTGCCATGCTGGCCAAACAGGAAATGAAATTCAAAAGTTCACGGGGCTTTTCCTGTCTACCTGGCCAGTGCATTCGAGTTGAGAGTGCTGTCCAGAGCAGTCATAATGGAACACTGTGGGATAGCTCCCGGAGGCCAACACCATTGAATTGTGTCCATAGAATATCAGGGTTGGAAGGGACCTCAGGAGGTCATCCAGTCCAACCCCATGCTCAAAGCAGGACCAATCCCCAATTAAATCATCCCAGCCAGGGCTTTGTTAAGCCTGACCTTAAAAACCTCTAAGGAAGGCGATTCCACCACCTCTGTAGGTAACACAGTCCAGTGCTTCACCACCCTCCTAGTGAAAAAGTTTTTCCTAACATCCAACCTAAACCTCCCTCACTGCAACTTGAGACCATTACTCCTTGTTCTGTCATCTGCTACCACTGAGAACAGTCTAGATCCATCCTCTTTGGAACCCCCTTTCAGGTAGTTGAAAGCAACTATCAAATCCCCCCCTCATTCTTCTCTTCCGCAGACTAAACTATCCCAGTTGCCTCAGCCTTTCCTCATAAGTCATGTGTTCCAGTCCCCTAATCATTTTTGTTGCCCTCCGCTGGACGTTTTCCAATTTTTCCACATCCTTCTTGTACTGTGGGGCCCAAAACTGGACACGGTACTCCAGATGAGGCCTCACCAATGTCGAATAGACCCAATGTCGAATTAACCCAAATTTGACCAGGCGATGTTGATTTCAGCACTAATCCCCCCGTCGGGGAGGAGTACAGAAATCGATTTTAAGAGCCCATTAAGTCAACAAAAATGGCTTCATTGTGTGGACGGGTTCAGGGTTAAATCGATCTAACGCTGCTAAATTCGACTTAAATTCATAGTATAGACCAGGGCTAAGAGCAGTAGGAGAGGAGGGAGGAGAGAGACAAAGAAAATATAATTAAAAGCCATTTAGACCCACTGCCTCCAGAGAAGTAGGGAAGACTTGACAGACCACAGTCTAGTCTGGTCTAGTCTTATTACTATTATGGTAGCACCTAAGGGCATATTGACACTGCAGCTAAACCTCCCAGCACAGGTAGACAGACTTGTGGTAGCATGCTAAAAAAAGCAGTGTAGACATGTCTTGGAAGCATCCTTTTTCAATGTAATGTGGGGGGAGAGGTATTTTATTCTTGTCTTGTGACTAATATAGAATTATCTCCCTTTTTTGTTTCCTGTTTACGGCTGAAGTGTTGTTTGAATAACGGTGGTAATAAATCATGGACAAACTTAACTATAACTGAGATATTTCCATCATTTCACCTCTTCCTTCTCTTTTGAGAAGCTTCAGGCTTATCCTGCATATTATTTGTTAGATGACAGAATGAGATTTATTTCTGTATAATGCTAATTTCTAAATTCGGTGAGACCACAACCTAAAGAAAGAAATGGGCCAACCCTAAGAGAAATGCATAGGGCCCAGTTTTTCTCTAAGACTCAGAAAATCAAGTCAATTTATGCCAGCATAAAACCAGACACATGAGAAAAATCAAGCCTTTTGTATTGAAAGGGCAGAGGAACTCACAAATCCTAAAAATTATATATCATTTCTAGAAAGGAAGGAATCCTCAAGGACTATAAGAAGAACCAGGACGAAACCTAAGACCAGGAGTCAAATATAATCCCCTGTACCCAAGCCCCATGGGACATTTCAAAACTGGACAACCTTACACCACTAGGGTTGCCAACTTTGGTTGGATGAATTCCTGGTGATTTCCTCACATAATACAATCTTTCATTAAAGATTAATCTTTAATTCCTTGAGTCTCCAGGACAATCCTGGAGGGTTGGCAACCCTATGTTACCCCCTGAACTACAAGGATGTTTGGCAGAAATGGGTTCCAATCCAACAGGATTTTAATGCCTCAAATCAAAATGCAGAGGAGATCCTGCAATTACTTGATGCTCTGTGCTTCAAGTTTTCTTTGTATTACAATACAAAGTGCAAGTATAATCATGAGACCATGATGAGCTTCCATCTGGCAGGCCAAAAACCCTGCCCTAATCTATCACCATGATGAAGTGAAGTAAAGTAAAGTAAAGTCACATTGAAAAT